TATATTTTCATCGAAACATAATCAGAGATACATGCTACGTAAACACAAAAAATAAATAAATCCAAAACACATGACTGTGTAAAAAAATTCTCGATCATATGCGAGTAATGTACATCGATAAAATAAATTCACGAAATACACATGCAAAAGTAAACTGATTATGTATGCGAAATCGAGCCACCAGGGCTTTCTTTATTATATAAAAATATTATTATACAGAATATAAATATGCAGCATCGATAGCAATAGAATGGGAAGTTGGAATTGAATGCTACTCAAACTTGTCTATCTAAACGATGCTTTTATCGGAAGGTTTCTACTATAAAAAACTACGCATGTGAAATTTATTCTGACACGTGTTTAACGAATATCTATATAAAAAGATGTTTGAAGAGGTGTGACATCGGTTGTCACAGTGGGTTTCTGTTTAATATTAAACTTTCACTATTATTATACCAAATCGCTAATTCTGATCTATTTTTATTTAATTATTCTAGGACATAATAGATAAGTCAGAAACCCGAAGGAAATCTGTACGAAAGAGTGGTGCAATAAGGCACGTGAATAATCATGATGAAAAATTTTATTGGTTTGTTTATTTCTAAAAAAAATTGATACATTTACAATAAAATTTTTAGTCTGAAGTTTTGTCTGGGGATCGAATGTTCCACCAAATTTATTAGAAACGATTTTGACAGTGATAGCATTTAATATAAAGTAATTACATTAAGTTTTTTTAGCATTTAAAATAGCGACATTTTTTTGAAGTATCGAATACCACGTGAATAAGTTAAATTTAACGTCATGTAAAAACCTGTTTAATTTTAGCCAATCAGAATTATTAATGATCAGCCAATAACAACGAACTTCCTTTATACACATGATCACAAGAAATTTATACTTGGGAATTGACGCGACATTGAATTTGACGCGACGACTTTTCACCCTTAAACCAGAATCATATTATAAATGACCGCTCAAAAAAGTAATCGATGGATACTCAGGCTTCCATACTTTGAAAAGAACAAAACGTGGAGCTTAATAGAATTCTTACGTTGGAGTATAGTATTTATCAGTGATTTCGGAAAAAAGGAAGAAGAGCATAGAAGATATAAAATTTGTTTAGAACAGCTTGCTAAAAGCCCCGAATTATTAAAGTCTCATAGCAATAAATCGGCTCAAAAGCTGGCATTACGATGCTTGGAATCATATGAGGTTAAGAGCTTTTTTCCCATTTTCTGTGCGTTTGTTTGTTTCGGGGCTATAAGGGGATAGGTTGCGTCCGAATATTTCTTAGTCGAGTCTAAGAAAGTGCCTTGTTATAGTCCTTTCTAACCGCTTAAAGTGCTATGTTGAGTCAGAATATCCGTTCGTTGAGTCGAAATCCCAGGATCGTATCCTTGGGTTTGCGGAGTGCACTTTACTTTGGTTGCGTCCAAAGTTGTAAGCAATAATTTTTTAATTTTATATAGAATGAAAGGAAATCATTTGGAGTAGAAAGCTTTTGGAAGACCAGTAGTAGTGTCGTGAAAACGTTAGAAAGAGCATCAACCTTGAATTCTCTAAATATAATCAACCGAATGATGGACTTACATTCCGATTATAATGATGCATTGGCTAATGCTACACGAGAAAATATTGAGCCAGGTAATATTGAACACACTTTACATTATATATATTATAAACTGAATATGTATTTTAGCTTTTCTTAATGGTGTGAAATAATAGCTCTAAACATAGAAAAGACGAGGAACGATGAGACCGATTCAAATGATACAATATCGGACGATAATAATCAAGAAGACTTTGATGAACCAGAGATGGAAATGGTGTTTAAAATACTTGCGGTTTTTATACTTTCCAAGTCTGCGCATTATAATTTAAATTTCAAACTCTATAATTTATTCTAGGTGGCTTTATCTCACAAAAGAAAAAGAGAAGTTTTGCGCAGTTTAGATAATCAAGATCTCTATTCAGAATTTCCCCGATCAGAAGTAAATTTATCATATACTATTCAAGTTTCAAAAGTTGAGGTATTTTCAGTTTCTTAAGTGTCAACGTGTTTTTTTATATCATACATCGAAACTAAGAGTTAATTTGATCAGATTTTGGAAGGGTTGGAAACGAAATCGCGCTTAGAAAAATATAATATTTTTTGTCTTTTTGATGTTGAATTTCATTACACAAAACAACTTTTTAAAAAACTATCAACGGACCAAGTTAACGCAATAAAAAGTAAATGGACAATGGTTAGTTTATTTTTAATTGTTGTAAATAGTTATGGACATAAACCCCAGATTAACAAATGTACCTTTATGAACAATAATGAGGCCGAAGAATCGGTTAATAAAAAAGAAATCGAAGAATGCTGGAGTGCATGTTCGTTAAAAAAACTAGTTGATAATTATAACAAAGTCATCAAAGAGAATGTAAATGAAAATACATTTTGTACAGACTTTAACTCACTTATGACGGGTGTTACAAAACAACAATTTAATAATTATGAACATCAAAAAAATTACGAATTGTTTTGGTGTCAAAACTTTTATACACAATTGTATGTATTATTGATGAGTTTTTTCTGTGTTATTATGACTGCGGAGTGAAGTAACCGATTTGTTTCTATATCAGAACTCTCCAGTTATTACGAAGACACAGTGCTTTGTTGGACAGTAGTACTAGTGAATATCAATATCGAGACGAAATAGTGAATCCTCTTTTGGCATCAATCTTTTTTGATGTCGATAATGCATTGTGGTTAAAAACGTAAGTTACGTCTTGCAAGTTATTCTCAAAAATTATGAATCTAATTTGTTTGTCAATAATAAACTAGTGGAGAAATTGAAAATACGTCACAAAAAAGACAACGCAATTTTTTAAAACAAGAAAATGAACGAGTAAAACTTGGTGACAAACACGACGGCATTTTATACATGGACATACAAGGTATACCAGTCGAAGTCGGTTTTTTGGAAGTGGTGGGTAATGCGTTTACTATGGCAATATCTGACAAAAATGATGATCTCGAGAAACTGTTAAAAGGTATATCTGCAGTTTATATCATTTTGCATGTCATAATAACCGGCTAATTCTATTTATTTATTTATTTATTTTATTTATTGTAGCCATGATGATATCTCTTTGGTATCAGCATGCGCATCAATTTGAGAGTTTTTCGGAAAACATGACGTTACAATCATTTTCAATTTTAGTATTTGGTTAGTGTGTTTGCCAGTACTTATTTTTTGAAACAAAATACTCATAAATAATTTATTGACTTGCTTATTTGAATAGGACGAGAATTTCACTTTTTAAGCATGCACTTCATAGATGATATGTATATTGTCGATGAATTCGATGCCTTTGTTATACCAGATTCTGGTATGAATTTTTCGCAAATCGGAATAATTATTGAAATAATAAAAAAATTCAAAGTAATCTTTATTATTTTAATTCATGCAAAGAGATACTTGTGACTTCAATAATAATTATAACTTTTTTCTGTAGATACGACTGATAAAGTATTATCGTCAACTTATTCAAAGGCCACGTAGGGTGACTCGATTTCCAAAGCCAGGATTACCAAATGATTCACAGTTAAAACTCAAAAGAAATCAAAACCCTTTTCCTTCCGATAAAACGAATGAACCAGATGAAGAATTTTGAATAATTAGCTTTGGACAAACGTTTATGGCATTTAGTTATTTAGACACAAAGTAATAGATATTTCCAAACCAGAATATTTACACCAAATTTACACCAATATGTAAAAATTCGCAATCATAGAAGCATAAATAATAAACTATACAGACCATGCGTTACAATTTATAACTCTAAACATTTTTTTTGGAAGTAACAGATGTTACGTAGTTCGATTTTTTTAATCACTATAAAGCGACAAACAAACTTTTGTACTGGCTTCAGAGTAGATCTATAAAGCTTAATATTAAGTTTTTCTTATTGCTATAACGATAAGCGTTGCGAAAAAAAATGTTTAGTTACACGAATAAATTCAGAAATGTATCATGAGTTAATTGACTGAATTTAGGATAATACCAAGTACGGGATTTTTTTTTATATTACTGTATTATACTATAATAGATACAGAATAACTATGGGAAAACTGAGAAGGCTTTATGTACAAATTTTAAACTATCATTATCATTACATATTACCAAATCATTATCTCCGATTTATTTTTATTAAACATTAAAATTTTCACATTCACATCGTCTATATATTCCATCCGCCACCTTTTTGCACGTTTTGCAATATAGATGTGAATG